TCACAACACGACACAGCGTCGAGGCGTCAACCCTACCGTGTCATCGAAGCTCACATTACATCAGCAGATCATCTGCATGCCTTGTTCAAAAAAGTTTGCAGCGCTACACATTGTGCAGCATGCGCACTGGGCACACTTTCTCATCTCCTCCCTACGGCGACAGCATCAACTGAACCAGGAAGGGTATCTATTCTTCATTTGGAATGCAGCACCAGCCTCGCGCTTTGCCTGTAGCATGTCGTGCCTGAGGATGGCCACCTCAGTTGCTGAGGCTCCGCAAACCCCAAAGTGCTGCTGACATGGTAGGTGAGAAAAGCATAGAGAGTAGCTGTCTCCACAATTCGCAAATCAAATGCGCATGTTGTTGGTACTGCACGGCGACCCTCTAGCTGCACAACGCGGTACCACACTGCGGAAAGAGACAGTGACGTACGTTTTCATGGAATGTCTACAAGCCGAGCTAACTCGCTGCAAACGATGCGAGTCCTTTCAGGCTGAGGCATAAGATCGGAGGATGAATCCGATAATCTGACCAGTCTCATCCTCGTGTCAGGGCGGACTTGCTGTCATCAATGAATCCACATAGCTGCGCATGTAGCATGTTGCTGAGTCCTGGCAGAAGGTACTCCCTTTCGTGCTTCTGGACGTGTTGAGCGGCCAGATTTGTGGCTCAAGCATCCCCATCATGAGCACTACTGGCTCATTCTCCAGATCTGTCAAGCCAGCCCTCAGGAATTGTCTCATGGACCACTACAACTCCCTAAAGCCCAGAATCTGCAGCACAACGGCCAACAGAACTTGGGTTTTTTGGGCTACAGCATTGTAGCCGCCCGCCCCTCGCTGCACCATGCTGCACCCCAGCTGCCTGCATGTCGTTGCAGAGGGCCTCGCCTTCTTCGACGTGGACCATGGCCTGCCAACTTGATTGACGCTGGGCATATGATTCCTCCGTGTCTCCCTGCATGACTCATCACCCATAGCCCTGGTGGGCAGGGCTCTGACAAGCAGTTGAAACACGCCCAGGAAATCGCATCAACAGGGTGCATAAGGCTCCTTCTGAAGAAACAATCCGTGTTCATGCAGCTGGGGAGGTCTCCATATGGGTGGAGCTTCTGAAAACTGGAAACAAAGTATGTAGGAGGTCCCTGGTCATGCGGGGCAGGTACTTCCATACCAAGGATGTGTCTCAGATTTCCCCTACATTCCCTGACTGTCAGCACACCTGGTCGGCATCCTTGATCGCTAGGAAAGTCTGGGCCTGGGTAGCAGGTCGAAACACACCATCTTCAAACCGTCGCACCTATGTTGAAAACCACTTCCCTCTGTAAGCTTTGTCTTCCTGAATTAAAACTAGATGGAAAGTATGATTTATGGCGTTCAGTAGTTCCAGACTGCTTCCACTGCTATGCTATTTCCCCTTCCTGAACTCCTCAGATCCGAGCCAGGAGGTACTCGATTGGGGCCAAGAGCGCTTTTGTCTTCTCGGTACCATCCTCCTCGAAGACGGTGTGCCTGGCGCAACTCTTCCAAAAGCCTGAGCCTTCTTACCTCCCAGTGCGTAACAATGGCTTGACCTTGTGCACCCGTCTAAAAAGGTTTCCCAAAACTGCGAGAGGTGGCACTGCAAACAAGAATTAGAACGTGTCAGCTCTACGCTGCGTCGCGCGCTCTCCAGGCAGCCTCAATCGAACCGAGCGGAAAGGGCCGAGCTCTGGATGAGGGGGGGGAACGGGACAGCATCACGCTTTTCGTGCCATTTCTTGGCTGAAGCAATGCAAGCAAGGCTCTTTCAAGAGCTAGGGCAACTAGGAATACTTATAAAGTGCGGCAGAAATGGATACATCTGGGTTTGGTACATTGAATGTTGTCTTATGCAGCACCTCACTGGCAGCACTTGCTACGGCCTTTCAGGCTTGTGGTGCCTCATGAATGGGAAAGAAGGCTGCAAAACGTTCAACGGAATGGTTCTGATACAGTGAACATAGCCAATAGCCATGACCAGCACATGCGGATGGCAAGCACAAGAGTGCTCATAGCACGATCTCCTTTGTAGCTTCAATCATCATGTAATCAGCGTCAATAGCATCCTGCTTTCTGGTGAGGCCCCATTGTGCCTGCACAGTTTCCTCGATCAGTGCAAAGTCCGGCTCCTTGCATGACGTCGTGTGTTTTGCTACCTACTATCAGCACCAACATCGGCTTTTTGTGCATTGGCTCTCTCCACCGTCAAGACTGCAACTTAATACTTGCTTCTCTCACCTAACAGCTCTGCAGAATCCCTAACTTTCCATGAGTCGCAGCCCGAAGTCCTCCTTGGGTGCCTTGGAAATTTCTGCCACCATGTTGGACAAGTGAATCTGGGCCTCAGTCTACAAAGCGCGCTCTTGAACGCAAGCTTTCTCTGCAGTGGCCTGTTGAAATTACCAGGTGATGGTTTAGTTTAAGCGCCCTCTGCAAGAACTACGAATCCATAGGCATGCAGGCAAAGCTGTTCCAACTAGACTTGGACAAATCACCAAAAGAATCGTGATACCGTGCAAACTCATCATCTCCATGCTCATACTGCACCATGTCGTATTAAGGTGTACTAAAAGAGCGCGGCATCCTTTTGCAGTCTTGTTGCCGAAAATTATCCGCGTAAGAAAATGCCAGCCCATGTGTTCGGCTGGGTCCGAGCTTTGCGTAGTAAGGGCGCCCAGTGGTCGTCCCAATCCCTCTTTAGTATGGCCAGAAAACTTGGCCTTCGCTGCTTTAGGACAAGTCGGGAATGGAACCCACACGCTCCCTTACTGTTCTGTGAGATTCTTCAGGCTACCCTTATCCCACGTTGGGCAGATTCTATGAAAGCATCTAGCTTGCCCCACAACTGCATGTCATTCACACATTGAAAGTCTGGTCTAATGAGCAGACAAAACAGTCGGTGATGGAAGTGGTCATGCTATCCGCTATCCTGCTGGTAGTGGTTGTAGTAGCGATCCCTGGCTTTTCCAGCCCTAGTCAATCATCCGCTTGCTCTCACATTTGAGGAGCTTCTGGCCGCGCGGCCTCCGGCAAGAGAGAGCATTTTGTTGTGTGCATTTGCATTTTTGCAGACCTCATAAAGGCTTCACCTACACGTCATCAGCTGTAGCACTTGCTCAGTGAGTAACTATGCAATGGTGCGACAAACCTCAAAGCGAAGACGTGGAATGATGTGGCCACAGTAAGACGCCCTCATGACAGAACTGGACCACCTCGGTGCAAAGCCCCCGCTGAGTGCGTGGCTCCGCAGTAGAAACCACTGGACATATGCACGTGTTCACCCTCGGCTTCATGGTACCTTTGACGATCCCAGGCCTTGTAGAAGTCAGCGAAGACTTGTCCCAAGACCTAGCATGCTGAGATTTGGAACTTGGAGCCACTCATTCAAAGCAACCGTGCAAAGCACGTTAGGGTTAGACCCTAAACGAGCGACAGGACACACCGGTGATCCCTCCAGCTGAAGCTGAGTAACCATCTACCATTGATCACCCTAACCACATAAGTCTGCAGTCGAAGATTGGGCAGCCCTTTGATAAACCGACTTCGTATTGTTTGCATGACAATCTGAGTCTGAGCAAAGCTCGAAGTGAATGGCCCAAAACCTCCACTCCGAAAACCCTCGCAAAGCCCCCTTGTCCGAAGCCTCCTGAGCGCTCAAGTCCACAACAGCCACGAAGCCTGCAGTTCAGGAGGTGTTTTCACCTAGTGTCCACCTACGCGTTCCAAGCATGCCCAGGAATCTCTTGGTTAAGGCTTGGCAATGGCCATCAGAGCTTTAATCTGCAGCTCCAAACCCCCAACTGGCTGGCCCCAATTCTAAGCATCGGCATGCTGTGAATGGTGCAGAGACACCCACACTCAACAGAGACTTATACCGTTGTGGCTATGAGGTACAGCAAGCAAGGGGACCAGGCAGGCTGCGCCTGTGTAGGCCGCGACCAGAATGAGCACGATACCAAAGGTCTGCGCGACTTCGCCTGGAACATTACTTGAAGCACTTTTGCAAAGCACTTGCCAACTACGACCCCTGGACTGAAGTTCTAATTACCCCTATACCCCCTACATCTCCTTCTGTAGGCCTCTCCAACCTAACTTTCATGCGGCTCATATGATTCTAACGCGTCGATGTAATTCTGCAGTTTGGAAAGGGGAATTGAGCTGCACCCTGGATTGCTGCCGAGCAAGGGAAGACGTTGACAATAAGTCGGCTGCTTTGGCAGTTGGCAACCCAGGCAAACAAACAAGAATATACTTTAGGAGGACCCCCCACCCTGTAATAGTGGTATATGAGGAATATAAGAGGACCCTAATATNNTGGGTGGGGGGGTCCACCTAAACTGTACTGCAATTGTGGGGCTGCTCTCTGTCCACCTGCTCAGTCTCCATGCACTCACAAATTTTCCAGGAAACCAGATAATAGCAGTAACAATAGCAGTAATAGTAACAGTAGCAAGAATAGTAACAGTAACAGCAACAGCAGTAGCAATAATAAGAGTATTACTGAAACTAATAGTAATAACAATCATAGTGTCAGTATCAGTCACAGTAATAGTAATTGTAACAGTAATNNTAACAGTAATAGTAACAGCAACAGTCACAATAATAGTACTAGTAGTTAGTAATAGTAAAGGTAGTAGTAACAGTAATAGTCTGCCTGGTGTTGGAAGGGTGACGACCTTGAGGTCCTGCAAGTTGTGCGGTTACTGTCAGCAGCACAGGCTTTCAAGTCCAAGCTGGCAGCTGGAGCACAAAGTCCGCCCAAGAAGGGGCCAGCATGGACTCACATGATTACGTAGGGGATTATATGGGGTCATCAAGGGGATACTACGAGTTTAGACTATGGCTCACATGCTATACTGGATTTCTATTCCAGCTTTCTTTTGTTCGCTTCCCTGCTTTACACGCTTCCCCATACGTTCCCCCTTTGAAAGCGAAGCTTCTCTCCACAGAACGGCCTCTTGTGGGCCCAACAACAGGGTTCAAAGCCCTGGGTCCTCCACCAGCTGCAATAAAATAAACTTTTCCTCTTTCTTTGGCTTGTCCGACTTTTCTGGCTGCAATTCTGGCACGTCTTTCTCGGAGCCGGCGAAGGCGTCCTGCACCTGGCCATAGGAGCGACAAAGTCTGAGCCCTGATAGGGACGCCCTTAGTGACTAGTGTCATCCCTGATTCAGGGCCCTGAGCTCAAAAATTGCACAAGTAAAGCTGGCACAAATTTAAAGCCCGCAGGAGGCCTTCTCTCTGCATGACGTGTCTGAGCGTGTCGAGCAAAGAGTAATAAACAGGCCATATTTCCACAACACCACCATGTAAGAGGAACACCACGAATGCCAGTGAACACATCGTGGTCAGGGTGATTAGCCGCATGGACTCCGCCCTAACCCCTACATGACGTCAGGGATCCAAGTACACCAATAGTACCTACATTGGGCCCTAANNATTGGGCTATTTGGATCCCGAGGGTGAACCCATAAGCCCCAGCCGAGTCCCATGGACCTTAACGTCCTCCTCGTCTGTTGCATTTGTCACTGCGACGTCCCCAGACACTTTAGCCTCCACGGCCTTCCAGTAGACAGGAATTATGCATAATACGCACAGTGTAGTAGCTTGAACAATTAATTTCGTAGAAAGAAAATGAATATTAGCACTGTGATCAACAGAATAAACTCCGGGAATGCCGGCACACCATGCCAGGGTGGGGGAGCTAGCCGCGTCTTTAAGCTTTCAACACCCACGCTCAGCACAAGCCATCTCACTGTGCATGTCGGATAAACATGGGCGGCAGTCATCCATTGATCCATACTGACTTTGTCCTAGACTCTCTGGCCTAAAGGCACTTGTAGGCAAACTAAATCCAGCCATGCACTTCCACATGCGTCAAAGAAACGCGGCCGCCCGACGAGTTAGAAAAGTCTCATTACACTCAAAATACCTTTGTTGGCGACATCTTTCACAGTAACGAGTTCGCCCAAGTTCAACTATCTGAAATGCCGCTGTTGAAGAACTTCTCATGACCTGCCGCACCAATCCTACGAAAGAGCTTGCCATCGCCGAATGGCCTCCCCATCAGTTGCCTCGGCTAAGTCCAGGGTGCCTGCCACAGAAACAAGTAAGAGAGTCAAAGTGGCTGAGGAAGTAGGGTGAAGATCTCCGCAGCAATTCCACAACCACAACTGCAACATCGTGAGGACGTTTTGGCTATACTCTAGCTACTAGCCGTACTAGCCAACCTTTTAAGGGCCTAAATATTAGG